ATAGCATCCTTGACTTTGTCAATCACCACATTACTCTTCTCCTATAACACACAAGTACGATCAAACCATTGTCATCACAAAAGCAATCAGAGATGATTCATTCACTTAAACAAAGATCAAACAAGAAAATGAACCAAAAGTTTTGACTATTTTGTGTGAAAGAGAGAAAGAGACCTCAGCGTGACCAGCGGTTTGACCGGCTTGGAAGCTTTGCTTGTTGTCTGCCATTTTTTCTTACTTGAAAAAGGAAAAATATGTTTTGGTTTTGATGTGTTTTTTTGTGTGTTTGGATGATGAGAGGAGAAATGGGTTTAGGGTTTGTATTTATAGGCCGAACGGAGATAGTTGTGTAGTGCCACGCGTAATCCGAAACCACGTGGGCGACGAGTAATGGTACGATCAGGCTTTTCCTTATGTCGGTACCTTTTTTCTCCTTTTTCATTTGTTTATTAAGATGAGTCATTTCAAAATATCTTGATATTTATATTTAGATCTGTTAACAGTAATTTTGGTTAATAGATACTTTTAGTTTTTAAAAATATATAGCTATAGGCCGCTACTCTGTGGTTGTAAAAGAAACACGTAACGGGATTTGTTGCATATTCCTTTGGCAAATATTTCGCGTTGTTGTGTGTAGTCGGTAATGTAGCGAATACTCGTGGCCATTTTTTCTTTGGCTATTGTATCTCAAGCGAAATATGACATAACATAGCTATGAGGTTGCTCGGCTTGGACTTTACCATGGATTGGGAACGTCTAATCAGTTTGCTCACTTCTACTCAGTCTAAATATCAACTGTTCTGGTTCATTCAATCCACTTTCTATCACATCTGACGAGAGGAACATGAGTTATGACGGTGAAGCTGATTTGACGACAATAATCCTCACCAAGCAAATTGCCAAGGATATTATGAATCGTATCAGCTCATCGGATAATGGGGGCACATGATTACTCCGAGTCCATGGAGTTATGGCTGGCCTCCCGTCAGCCATTAAGGATCGATCAACCAATCTTTATTTCTGGTGTCTTTAATTTCAAAAGTTTTCTAGGATGATTTAGAAATTTCTACTCAAAGATACATGTATTGTACAAAAGATTTGATTGATACAATTTTACATTCTTTAAAAAAAAAACATTTTGAGTTGTTATTCGCGAAAAAAAAAAAGTTTGTAGAATCTTTAGAACTTTTATAAATTAAACTTTATTGTTATTTATAAATAAAAAAATTGGTGTCGTTCACGGCATATTAGACAAGAAACAAAATTAGACGAGTTCCAACA